TAGTGGTATTTCACCGACGGTAGGGACGCCGGCGGGCGGGTCGCCCCGCAATGCCGAGTGTGCGCCCGGCCTCCCACTTATTCTACACCTCTCATGTCTCTTCACAGCGCCAGACTAGAGTCAAGCTCAACAGGGTCTTCTTTCCCAGCTGATTCTGCCAAGCCCGTTCCCTTGGCTGTGGTTTTGCTGGATAGTAGGTAGGGACAGTGGGAATCTCGTTCATCCATTCATGCGCGTCACTAATTAGATGACGAGGCATTTGGCTAGAGATCGAACACATATAAATAATATATGTCCCTTTTCCGGGTTAAGTAAAGGTGGCCCGTCCACCTTGGACAAATCCGGTTAAGCGGTACAAGTCCGGTAAGATTGGTCCGAGTCAGGTGGTATTTTACGCGTTGTGAATTCAAGTTCCTGTCCCTACCCACTATGAGCTACCTAACTGGCTTGCGGCTGCCTTGCAAACCTAGCTACCGTCTAGTTTATTAAAATATAAAAGTAATACGCATACATCTATCAATAAACATTGCTACAAAAGATCCCCCCCAAAATACAAAATCCTGCAGATCTGACCTATACAGTTCTAAAGAAAAATTTACCAGCAAGCCCAATTCATTTTCTGTCAATTTGGTGGTTGTAGATGTTACAAAATCATCTCAGGAGGTCTGAGTGCCCACCGATACCCTAGTAAGGTGTAACGACCGCCCCCATTTTCCTCCTCCGAGGAACGGATTTGGATTTGGAATAGCCGAGTCATGACCGGATTCAACATCGGGAACAGATTGGGTGGTCAGACCACCTCCAAACGCGTCGCCCCTGTCCGACCGGGGGGCCAGGTTTCAGGTAGTAAGCCTGACGACTTAGACCGAGAAATTTGTTTCACCGAAATTTGGAAGGAACTGTTGGGCTGGTGAGTCCCAACGGCTCCCAGACTGGGACAGAGATCGACTTAGTCACCCTGATAAGGGCTTACCAGTGGGACCACGAGGAGGTGTGATCTTTGCAGCTATGCCCAGTTGTAATTAGACCTTCTCCAGCCCTCATGCACATCATAATTAGATGACGACACACTTAAAACCGTTAAGAGAGTCATAGTTACTCCCAACGTTTACCCGCGCTTCATTGAATTTCTTCACTTTGACATTCAGAGCACTGGGCAGAAGTCACATCGCGTCAACACGCGCCTTGGGCCTTCGCGATGCTTTGTTTTAATTAAACAGTCAGATTCCCCTGGTCCGCACCAGTTCTAAGCCGGCTGCTAGGCGCCAGCCAAGGCGGGGCGCCGGCCCGGGGACCCCCCGGGGACCCTCCCCTGCGAAAACCACTTGGCCGATGCCGGCCACACACGCGCCAGCCGCGCACTGAGGGGACCCCGCCAGCGGGAACCGATGGGGCGGTGGCGCGTGACAACGACGGCGGCGGCAGCCACTGGATCGCTGGCCGCGGCAAGGTGGGGGGGCAGGCCTGGGGGGGGCGGGCGGTGCCCGATGCAGCTGGGGCAATCCACAGGAAGGGCCCAGTGCATGTCCAGAGTTGCTGCCGCGCGTGCGCGCGCCCCGGCGCCCGGGCGGGCCATGCGGCGCGCGCTCACCCACGCATGGTGCCTCGTCTGGCCATGGCATGCGCCCAGCCCCACTTCGCGCCCCAGCCCAACCGACCCAGCCCTTAGAGCCAATCCTTTTCCTGAAGTTACGGATCCGGTTTGTCCACTTCCCTTACCTACATTGTTCCAACATGCCAGAGTCTGTTCACCTTGGAGACCTGCTGCGGATATGGGTATGGCCCGGCGCGAGACTTACACACTCTCCCCCGGATTTTCACGGGCCAGCGAGAGCTCACTGGATGCCGCCGGAACCGTGACGCTTTCCAAGGCGCAGGCCCCTCTCTCGGGGCGAACCCATTCCAGGGCGCCCGGCCCTTCACAAAGAAAAGAGAACTCTCCCCGGGGCTCCCACTGGCTTCTCTGGGATCGGTTGTGTCACCGCACTGGGCGCCTCGCGGCGCCCGTCTCTGCCACTCCGGATTTGGGGATCTGAACCCAACTCCCTTTCGATTGGCTGAGGGCAACAGAGGCCATCGCCCGCCCTTTCGGAACGGCGCTCGCCTATCGCTTAGGACCGACTGACCCATGTTCAACTGCTGTTCACATGGAACCCTGCTCCACTTCGGCCTTCAAAGCTCTCCTTTGAATATTTGCTACTACCACCAAGATCTGCACCTGTGGCTTCTCCACCCGGGCCCACGCCCCAGGCTTCGAGGCGCACCGCAGCGGCCCTCCTACTCATTGCGGCCAAGCCCCTGCGGGCATCGCACTGCCGACAACAGCCGGGTAAGGGCCCAACGCTCCAGCGCCATCCATTTTCAGGGCTAGTTGATTCGGCAGGTGAGTTGTTACACACTCCTTAGCGGATTCCGACTTCCATGGCCACCGTCCTGCTGTCTAGATCAACCAACACCTTTTCTGGGCTCTGATGAGCATCGGCATCGGGCGCCTTAACCCGGCGTTCATCCCACAGCGTCAGTTCTGCTTACCAAAAGTGGCCCACTGAGCACTCACATTCCACGGCGCGGCTCCACGCCAGCGAGCCGGCCCCCTTACCCATTGAAAGTTTGAGAATAGGTTGAGATCGTTTCAGCCCCAAGACCTCTAATCATTCGCTTTACCGGGTAAAACTGCCCATTGCCGAGTGCCAGCTATCCTGAGGGAATCTTTGGAGGGAACCAGCTACTAGATGGTTCGATTAGTCTTTCGCCCCTAGACCCGGTTTGGATGACCAATTTGCACGTCAGGACCGCTACAGACCTCCACCAGAGTTTCCTCTGGCTTTGCCCTGCCCAGGCATAGTTCACCATCTTTCGGGTCCTAGCACGGACGCTCATGCTCTACCTCCCCGGCCCCGCGATGGGGCGGTGGGCGAGATGGGCTGGTGGTGAGCCCGGGCCTGCCAGGCGCGACACGTGCCCCGGGATCCCACCTGAGCTGGCGCACACCAGCCCTCACCTTTATTGCGCCGCGGGCTTTTGACGATGGCCCCTGACTTGCGCAAATGCTAGACTCTTTGGTCCGTGTTTCAAGACGGGTCGGGTGGGTAGCCAACATCGCTGCGGACCCTGGGCACCCGACCGCGGCCCGTCAAGCCCAGCCCAGCGGCACCACGTGGTCAGGGCGCACTGAGGACAGTCCGCCCCGGGTGACAGCGGCGCTAGGGGCCGGAGGGCCTGGCCCCTGCACACCCGTGCGAAATGCCGCGCTGCGGGGACGCCACCCCCACCCCCCCTCCCCAGGACGGGGAGGGCGGGGGAAAAGTGATGCCCCCCAACACGGTGCTGCTGATGGGGGGGAGGAGGGCACGGCGGCAGTCCTCTCCCTCGGCCCCGGTGTTCAGCAAGACCTGCTGCCTGGGGGCTGTAACACCCACCGCCACTCGCGCGGCGCCAGGGCCTTCCCAGCCGACCCGGAGCTGGTCGTGGCACACCGCCGCGGAGGAAATGCGCCCGGCCAGGGCCAGCCGCCAGCCAAGGGGGGGGTCTCTGCACCAGCCCGTCCCCCCCAGCTCGCCCCCGCGCACGGGGTACGCCTGGGGGACAGAGGGGAGGCGGAGGCCAGGATCCGCCAAGCCCGCGCCGGCCGACCGCAACTCGCCGGGTTGAATCCTCCAGGTGGACTGCGCGGGCCCCACCCGTTTACCTCTTAATGGTTTCACACCCTCTTGAACTCTCTCTTCAAAGTTCTTTTCAACTTTCCCTTACGGTACTTGTTGGCTATCGGTCTTGTGCTGGTATTTAGCCTTAGATGGAGTTTACAACCCTCTTTGGGCTGCATTCCCAAGCAACCCAACTCCGAGAAGCCCCAGGCCCGGAGCACCAGGGGGCCACTACGGGCTGCGGCCTCGATCACAAGGACTTGGGTCCCCCGAGAGCGCCGCTGGGGAGGGGGGGTTCTGTATGCCACATGTCCCGCGCCGCACCACGGGGTGAGGATTCGGCGCTGGGCTTTTCCCTCTTTGCTCGCCATTACTGAGGGAATCCTCGTTAGTTTCTTTTCCTTCGCTGACTAATATGCTTAAATTCAGCGGGTCGCCACATCTGATCTGAGGTCGCAAGCCCAAAGCTTGGCTGCGCTGCGCGTGGGGGCGCGCGTGGAGACGGCCGCCTTGTCTCCCCCGCCCGCTACGCTGCCCGCCCCCCTCCTCTCCGCGCTCCCGGAGGGAGCCGGAGAAAGAGAGAGCGCGCAGGTGCGATCGAGCGACGAGGAGACGGAGAGCCCCATCCCGGAGACGAGAACTGAAAAGGGAGCGCGGCAGAGATGGCCCCGCGCGAGAGGTCCGGCTGGGCGGCGGCGCGCGTGACGGCCTCGGCGGGGAGAGAGAGAGGAGATACGGGGCCCCTCGGTGCGCCCCGAGACCACGACAGAAGAGGAGGCGGCAGGCGAAGGGAGGACGGGGTCGGAACCCCTGTCCCTGGTGCTCTCGCCTCGCGCGTGGCAGCATGGCATGGTACCGCCGCGGTACCCACCCACAGACAGCCGCCCGTGCAGGGGGGAGGCCGGGGGCGAGGCCCGCGCCTCGCCTCCCCTTCTCGCCCTCCTCTCTTTTTCTCTCTTGGCCCTCGGCGGCGCCTTTTGACACCGTCTCTCGCTCCCCTCAGGCCACTGCGCTACTGCATCCACAGCACAGTCCTGGCGAGGACGAGCTCCACCCCAGTGGCTCGCTCCGGGAGCGGGGAACTACAGAGCGCTCCCCGAGTCTGCATTTAGGGGGACGAAGGTGCTGCGCGGCGACGATGACTGCAAGTACGACAACGCCTGCCGGGCCGCAGGGAAGGGATCGAGGCTGCCTAGGGAAACGCTTCCCTCGCCAAACCCCTGACCTCCTTTCCTCTGGGCACTGGCAGGACACTGCTGCCGCCACCGCCGCCGCCGCCCGCCACAGGCAACAGGCCTGCGAGGCGACCCCAGCTGCACCGCCAGCGTGGCCCCTGGACGGCGATTGATTGTCAAGCGACGCTCAGACAGGCATAGCCCCGGGAGAAACCCAGGGCTGCAAGTGCATTCGAAGTGTCGATGATCAATGTGTCCTGCAATTCACATTAAATTCTCACAGCTAGCTGCGTTCTTCATCGACGCACGAGCTGAGTGATCCACCGCTAAGAGTTGTCTGGCTTTCGGGCAGCGCTCACGCCAAGTGGCCCCTTTTTTTGTTACTCTGGTGCTGAGGCCCCTTTTTTTGTTACTCTGGCGCAAGCACGCGCCTGGCTTCGACCGTATGAGCACTCAGAAACGGAAGGGGAAAAAAAAACACTGGAGAACCCACGCTCTGAAGGCCAGCCAAGAGGCGGGGGAGCCCGTGCCCCTGACCGCCTCCCCCTGCAAGGGGAGACGCCGACTTCACAAACGCCATCATTCGGAGGCGGCCCAGGCGCCCAGGCTCGGCCCGGCCTCCACGTGGAGGGCCAGACGGCACGCGCCAGAACGCGGGAGGGCACAGCGGCCCACCCGCTTCTCGCTTTCACGGGACAACATGCACAACACACACAGCACGTGGCCGGGGGCGCACGGCCATCAGCCCCCACACACGCCGGCTGTCCCTCGGCCCCCGAGGCTGCAGGCCTTGCGGAGCGCCGCTGTGCAGCCGGCTTTTCTCTTCCCGCACTGCACAGCCTTCCCCCGGCTCGAGACGGCACGTGACAACAACCGGCCCCCGCCGGCACGCCTCCCGTGGGACCGCTCCCCTACCGGGCGGGTGAGCGACCGGTGGACGCGCTCTGCCACCGGCCCCAGAGGCGGGCACCACCGAGACCCGAGAAGGCGTCTCCGGCGCCCGAGGGCTGCCGGACGGCAGACCCCGCCGCCGCCAGGGCCGCACTCCCGGGACTGCCGCCACCGCATCGCATCGCCAGGGCCCCTTACCTCAGGCACCTGCCCAGCGGAAGGCGGTACGGCGCTGAGCCGGGGGGCAACGCCCGCTCTCCTCGTTTGCACGCGGAGACCGGGCAGAGAGAAGTGCCCCCGCGGCCGCCCCGCATGCCTTCCTGTGGCCCACACGCAGCTGGGAAGGGTGATGGAGGACGCGACGAGCGGGGCCCGGGACGGGACCACAAACGGGCGACAGCGGGTGCCTTCCGGCCGACCGTCCCCACAGGGAGGGACACCCGTCGAGCAGCGCCGCCGCCGCTCAGCACGGGGTCGCACGTGCTCCCGGGCCTCTGCTGCTGGAGGGCCCGCTGAGCGCTCGCCCCCCACCAGCGGGCGGTTGAGCCAGGGGACGGCCGGCGGACGACAGTGCCGCCGGTGTGCGTTTGAGGAGAAAAGGCCGTCGAGGGGAGGAGAGGCGCTGGACGCGGCGCCGCGTGTGCCAGAGACCGCGGCGGTGGGCTGAGGAGTGAGAGCGCGGGCGGGCCCCGGCGGCTGCGACCCCGCGGCTGAGGAAGGGCAGAGAGAATGCGCTCTCTGCCGGCGTCGCCCGTTATGACAAGGCGAGCGGGTCGGCCCCCACGGCCGACAGCTTGCTGCAGCATCTCCACTGAGGACGGGCCGCGGGGGGGGGGCAGGGTGCCCCTCCCTGGCGCGGTACGGTTAACCCCCACGGCCCGCGGCAGGATGACAACGGAGGAGCACGGCCAGTGCCGATGGGACAAGCACCGCAGGGGATTGGCGGGAGTAGCTGCTCCCCACCCCTCAGTGGCACCCCGCACGGCCACTGCCCGGCACGCCTGCTGCCGCTGGCACCACCGTCACCATGGCCTGCCGCGCCGAGCCGCCCGAGTCTTTAAACCGCCGCCCAGCCCCGCCAGCCCCTTTCAGAAAACCCGCAGCGTTTGACGACACCGAGGGAAAAAACCTGGGGGGACCGCCAAGGCGCGGACCACTAGGTACCTTGCCCTGGGGCGAGGGAAACGACCTGCATGGCCCCGCCGGGGTGCCTTCCCCGCTGCCGCCCTCGGGGGAGTGTCCACCCGCAGGGGTGCGCCCGACATCTGCCGCCACCACCGCCACGTCCTTCTCAGGGCCCGGGGTTTCCCTCAGTAGCAAGGCGCTGCATGTCTGAGAGGACCGCCATGGCTTGGGCCGCCCCGCCGGCGCGGGGGATGCGGGCCCGACCACCGAGCACACCTCAGGTGGTGCATACACACCACAAAGTGCGGCCCGGAACGCCTGGAGGCCTCGGCCCTTGGAGTTCCTCTGCCACGGCGAGAGGGGGGCCACTCGGCCCGAAAGCGGGGAACTCTGCCGGCCGGCAAAAGTCCCGCTCCCCAGTGTGGGAAGGGCCGGAGGTGCCGCCTGCTCCGAGCCCCGAAGGCGCCCCCACCACCTGGCTCCCTCGCCCTTTCCACCTCGGCTGCCGACGGGTGCTACGGCCGGACAGACGGCTGTCGCTCGACAGGAGAAGCAGTGACAGAAGGGACGGGCGCGCCTCTGGGAGGGGCCATGCCGAGCTCCCCTCCCTCCCGGGACCCGGGCGGCTTTCTCGCACGCACACTGAGGAGAGCCGAGCTTGGGAGGACTCGGGCCGCGCCACGGCACCCGCACACGGCACGCTGGCGACCGGTGTTCGGCAGCGCCGGCCGCAGCGGCGAGAGGCTCAGGGGCCCGCGGCCGCGCCCCCGCTCTCCGGCGGGGATGGACCAGCGGCAGACCAGCACAAGGCCGGGGTGGGGGGGCTGGTGTGGGGGGCGGTGGGGCAAGCCGCCGCTACAGCGGCCAGCGTGCCATGCTTCTAGGCCCGGCCACAACACGCAGTGTACCGCAGGGAGAGCCCCGCCTGCGCGCAGCGTGGCGGGCATGCCTGGCATGCTTCATAGCGCCAAGTGGCTTTTTCCCCCTCTCCCGCTTCCAGCCCCCAGCACCCGGAGGTGCCGCGCGCCTCTGGTCTCTCTCTCTCTGGGGCTGACGGCGCGCGGCGAAGGGGAAGGGCGTGTGGCCCCCGGTGCTGACCGGGGCTGGCAGCCAGGGGCCGTGCGTGCAAACAGAGTGGGCATGCGAGTGACACTACTCGCACGCGGCCTGCCAGAGGGCCTGGCATGACGCGGCAGGCACCAAGCCCCATCGGTAATGATTGTTCCGCAGGATCACCTACAGAAACCTTGTTACGACTTTTACTTCGTCTAGATAGTCAAGTTCGACCGTCTTCTCAACACTCCGCCAGGGCCGATCCGAGGACCTCACTAAACCATCCAATTGGTAGTAGTGACGGGCGGTGTCTACAAAGGGCAGGGACTTAATCAACGCAAGCTTATGACCTGCACTTACTGGGAATTCCTCGTTCACGGGGAAGAATTGCAATCCCCGATCCCCATCACCAATGGGCTTCAACGGGCTACCCGCGCCTGCCGGCGGAGGGTAGGCACAAGCTGAGCCAGTCAGTGTAGCACACGTGCAGCCCCGGACATCTAAGGGCATGACAGACCTGTTATTGCTCAATCTTGGGTGGCTGAACGCCACTTGTCCCCCTAAGAAGTTGGACGCCGACCGCTCGGGGGTTGCGTAACTAGTTAGCATGCCAGAGTCTCGTTCCTTATCGGAATTAACCAGACAAATTGCGCCACCAACTAAGAATGGCCATGCACCACCACCCATGGAATCGAGAAAGTGCTCTCAATCTGTCAATCCTGTCCGTGTCCAGGCCGGGTGAGGTTTCCCATGTTGAGTCAAATTAAGCCGCAGGCTCCACTCCTGGTGGTGCCCTTCCGTCAATTCCTTTAAGTTTCAGCTTTGCAACCATACTCCCCCTGGAACCCAAAGACTTGGGTTTCCCAGGAGCTGCCCGGCGGGTCATGGGAATAACGCCGCCGGATCGCCAGTCGGCATCGTTTATGGTCGGAACTACGATGCTATCTGATTGTCTTCGAACCTCCGACTTTTGTTCTTGATTAATGAAAACATTCTTGGCAAATGCTTTCGCTCTAGGCCGTCTTGCGCCAGTCCAAGAATTTCACCTCTAGCGGCACAATACCAATGCCCCCATCCGTCCCTCTTAATCATGGCCCCGTTTCTGAAAACCAACAATATAGAACCGGAGTCCTATTCCATTATTCCTAGCTGCAGTATGCCGGCGGCCGGCCTGCTTTCAACACTCTAATTTTCTCAAAGTAAACACTTTGGGCCCCGCGGGACACTCAGCTAAGAGCATTGAGGGGGCGCCAAGAGGCAGGGGCTGGGACAGGCGGTGGCTCGCCTTGCGGCGGACGGCCAGCTCGATCCTAAGATCCAACTACGAGCTTTTTAACTGCAGCAACTTTAACATACGCTATTGGAGCTGGAATTACCGCGGCTGCTGGCACCACACTTGCCCTCCAATGGATCCTTGCTCAAGGATTTAAAGTGCGCTCATTCCAATTACAGGGCCTCAAAAGAGTCCTGTATTGTTATTTTTCGTCACTACCTCCCCGGGTCAAGAGTGGGTAATTTGCGCGCCTGCTGCCTTCCTTGGATGTGGTAGCCATTTCTCAGGCTCCGTCTCCAGAATCGAAGCCTGATTCCCCGTCACCCGTGGTCACCATGGTAGGCACAGACAGTATCATCGAAAGTTGATAGGGCAGACATTCGAATGGGTCGTTGCACGCCCCCGCGGCGTGCGATTGGCTTGAGGTTATCTAGAGTCACCAAAGCTGCCGGGCGGGCCCGGGCTGGTTTTGGTCTGATAAATGCACGCGTCCCCAGAGGTCGGCGCTCGTCGGCATGTATTAGCTCTAGAATTACCAGTTATCCAAGAAGTTGGAGAGGAGCGACCAAAGGAACCATAACTGATTTAATGAGCCATTCGCAGTTTCACTGTACCTCCCGCGTGTACGTAGACATGTATGGCTTAAGCTTTGAGACAAGCATACGCTACTGGCAGGATCAACCAGGTAACCGCCGCCCACGGCGGCTCCGTGCTGCGGCATGCAAGTGCCTGGACGGAGCACCCGGACGTGCCCGGCCCGCTGGCAAACCTGCCCCGCGCCAAACCCTGACCTCCCCGGGCTTCTTTCGCCGCTCCGACCTGTGGGAGCGGCATCAAGGATGAAGACACGGCGGCAGGCGGCAGCATGGCGGCGACGGGCGCCGGCGGCAGGGACGGCGGCCGGCCGCATCACGGCCCGGCGTTGGCTGGGATGGGGAACGGCACCACGCGCGAGGGACGCCCCTTTGGCGAAAGCTGACCCCCGCGGCCGGC